TTCTTCCTGAGAGATGGTGCCACCCAGGGAGCTAGGGCCCTTCCTACCCTTGAAGGCAGTTCCAGGGAGGATACAGCACACCTTCCTCACTGCCATCCTCAGGTGTGGCACCTCCTCCTGGAAGCTGACACTTCTAGCTCCCCTCTGACCAGCCCGGGGATCCTCCTCACTCCTCTCCTTTTGTTTGTGTCCCATCCCTGGCTCTGCAGCCTTCCTGCTCTCTCTTCCTGATACATGGTTTTGTCTGACCACCACGGTGGCTTTTGGTAGCTGGAGGAAGCAAAAGTCAATGTGGAAGAGCAAGTGACATTTAGAAGCTGGAACCTGTTAGTCAGAGCAGGTGGTGCTTTCTGCTGCGTTGGCGGCTAAGTTCCCTCGAGCTAGTCGCCATGGTTTTCCTCACTTGTGAAACTTAGGGCTGGGTATGTATATGTGCTGAGGGTTTTTTTTTTTTTTCACTCAGCATGTTATGTCAAAACCCCTTAAGCCACCCACAGTTAGAAGCAGCCGGCCTGTATGTCACCCTGTTCTTTTTGCTTTCTACCTTTTCCCCATATTGTTCTTTGACTTCATTTCTGTTCTTTTCCCTTGTTCCTACCATGGACTTTAACAGAGTCCTGGGTGCTGCTGGTGCAGAGTTCCCTCACCTGCAGACCAGCTGGAGAGGTAAGAACTGAAGGCCTGTGGTTAAAGACTTGCCTAAGTCCTCTGATGAGGCCCTGAGGAGATCCCCTAACAGTACCTTTCATTCTAACCCAGAGATTTTTTTAGGTTTCCATCCTGCCTTAGATGTTGTTTGACATACAATACCACACCCACTTTAGTCTCATGTTAGATGTGGGCCAGTAAAAGTACATTAGACTAGAAGAAGTTGGAGGCTCATCTATGTGGTTTCATTTTTGTTGTTGTTGTTGTGTTGTTTTATTTTTTGAGACAGGGTCTCACTGTGTAGTCCTGGTTGGCCTGGAATTTCTGTGTAGACCAGGTTGTCCTCAAAACTCACATATATCTGCCTGCTTCTGCCTCCCAAGTGCTGGGATTAAAGGCATGCACCACCATGCCTGGCTCATCTGTGTGGTTTTGACAAGTCACCTAACTATGATGTGTCTCCGTTTTTCCAGCTGCAAAATGGAGACATGGCTACTGTCATCTGTCACATTTCCAGCTCCTGAAATGAGACTAGTGTCAGGTTAGAATGACAACATAAATTAGGAAGTACTTAGTACAGTTTATTTTTAAAATATTTTATTTATTTTTATTTTTTATGTGTACGAGTGCTTTGCCTGGATGTATGCACGTGTGCCTGTGTCCTGCAATGCCTGCGGAGGTCAGAAGAGAGCATTGTATCTCCTGGAACTGGAGTTATGGACGGTTGTTAGCTACCTTGTGGGTACTGAGAATCTAACCTAGGTCCTCTGCAAGAGCAGCCAGTGCTCTTAACCACTGAGCTATCTCTCCAGCGCTATACTTTGTATAACTTATTTTTATTTTTTTAATTTTATTTATTATTTGTATTTTATGTGTATACGTGTATTGCCTATGTGTAGGTAAGTTCCATCATGGTAAAGAGACAGTGGCAGGAAGCAGCACACATGATGGTAGAGCAGAAGGCTGAAAGCTGACAGCTCACATCTCTGATGGCAAACAGGAAGCAGAGAGAGCAACTGGAAGTGGGTCAAAGCTCCAGCCCCTATTTTTTAATATTTTATTTATTATTTTTATTTTATGTGTATGAGTGTATTGCCTGCAGGTAGGTAGGTGCACCCATGTCATGCAATGCCCTTGGAGGTCAGAAGAGGGCATTTATTCCCTTAGAACTGGAGTTAGGAACAGTTGTTAGTCCCCACGTGGGTGCTGGGAATCGAACCTAGGTCCTCTGCAAGATCAGCCAGTGCTCTTAACCACTGAGCCCTATCACTAGCCCCTACTTTGTACAGTTTAAAAAGTAAATTGGCCAAGGGTTGTAGGGGCCAAGGAGATGTGGCTAATGGTAGCTGAGGTTTTCCCCTAACCCCACCAGTTCCTGGAGCTGTGGGAGAGAGAGCCCCAGGACCTCAGCTGAAATCATTCAAGGGAAACGCTGTCTCCCTGAATAGGAAGGAAAGAGGGGCTTCTGTGTTGGAGAAACAAGTTAGGAATATGATGAGGAGGAAGGGACTGGACTAGAATGCTAGTGTGATTATTTGGCACAAACAGCTGAGCAAAGGCCAGAGCCAGCTGACCCCATCTGGGGTGTCTTGAGGGAGGTCTTGTGTCAGCTTGGGTCTGGCTACATGAGGAAGAGGGCATCATGTAACTCAACTGTGGTCAGGAGGCTGAAGAATCTGGCTCACTCTGAGCTCATGGCAGATTAATGCCACCATCCACTCTGCCTTGGATGTCTTAGTTTTGTGGAGGACACATTCAGATGTTCTTGGGGCACTGCCTCTTGTAGCCCTGAAGGGAGGCGATTGTGGGAGTAGCTGGTATATGTGACATTCTGTCTCTAGGGTTGCCCCAAACTTCAGTTCTTGAGAAGGGGTAACTTTCCTATCTGCAAATGTGGTTGTTGCTTTTATGGGTATCTGGGGAAATAAAATGAAATGTTGCAGGAAAAAACACCTCAAGCTCCAAACTCAGCTCACAGTGAGGTGTGAGGATGGACAAACATGGCCTGTGAAGTGGCAGGTATCAAAGCCCGGTGTGATGGCACATGCCTTTCTTTAGTACCAGCACTTGGAAGGCAGAGACAGGCACATCTCTGTGAGTTCAAGTCCAGCCTGGTCTGTGTAGTGAGTTTCAGGCCAGCTGGGGCTACAGGAAGACCCTCTCTCAAAAAGACCAAAGGGAAAAAAAAGTGGCAGGTATAAGTGTTCATTCTGAGGATTGTGGGGATTCTAATGAGAAGCATGAAAACCTTTCCCTTCTGTGCAAGTACAGTGTAGCCAGCCAGCCACAGACAGCTGAGGCATAAGCAGCACTGAGTGGCATTTACTTCAAAAGACAGAGGCTTGGGGCTGAAGAGATGGCTCAGCAGTTAAGAACACTCGTTCTTGCAGAAGACCTGGGTTTGAATCTCATCACTCACATGGCAATTAACAGCTGTCCATAACTCCAGTCCCAAGGGATCCTATAGCCATTTCTGACCTCCACCAGCATCGCATGACACAGGTGCACTTATCTACATGCAGGCAATACATACATACACATAAAATAAATAAAAAATTTTTAAAGTTAAAAAAAAGACAGAGGCTTATGCGTTCTTGGTTTCTGTGTGATCTAACTTTTAGTCTGTAAGTTTGTTTCTAGAAGGAAAAATAAAGGAAGAAAAAAAACTCGTAAGTGTAATTTTTTGGAACTTTGTTGTTTTGTTTTTGTTTGTTTAATGATGGAGGCTACCTTGTGAGAGTATGGGTTGTTCTCACAGAGGAAAACCTGCGGTGGACCCCAGGTAGCTTGACTGTTTCCCTCTTAGAGGACAGAGTATGGTGTCTGTCATGTTCTTCCATGTCCCACCCATCCTCCCACAACTCTGAAGCTCTTCGGAGGACATGGCCTGCCTAGATAAGCCATCCCCTGAAGGGCAGTGGCCTGCTTTTACGTAGCAGTTGCCTTGCCCTAGCAACTCTCTCTGCCTGTCTCTGGGCAGTGCTACTGATAAGCATCTGGAGTCTCTGTGAGTGAACACCATGGTGGGGCAGCACCAGGCTCCAGAGCCTCCACTTGGTATTAGTCTGAGGGGAAATGAAAGCCTCTTATCAGGAGAGGCTGTGGATGGTAAAGAACTGGTTATATGACTGACCACTACAAGGTAGACTCAGAATAACATTCATTTCATTGCCAGCTCTGTCAGAACTAAACTGGCCACAAATAACAGAACATCATAATAGAGTCGTGTAGAAAGAGGCAGGTTTGGGGCTGGAGAGATGGCTCAGCGGTTAAGAACACTGGTTGTTCTTGCAGAAGACCCAAGTTTAAATCCCAGGACCCACATGGCAGCTAACAACTGTCTGTAATTCCAGTCCCAAGGGATCTGACAGCCTCTTCTGACCTCCACCAGCATTGCACAACACAGGTGCACTTACCTACATGCAGGCAATACACGGATACACATAAAATTAAAAAAAAGAGAGAGACAAGTTTGGTGGTTCCATAGCCATCAAGTCCTAGACCTTTCTCCTGAGTGTGTTGGCCCTCCATCATCAACTGACACCTTGCGGCTGCAGCAACCCCAGAGACTACTTTTACATTCCAGGCAGGAAGAACTGGGAAGGGCTAGTACCTTTTTCAAGAAAGCAAAAGACTGAGTATGGTGGTGCATGCCTTTAATCCCAGCACTCAGGAGGCTGAGGCAGGCGGAGCTCTGAGAGATCCAGGCCAGACTGGTCTACATAGTGAGCTCCAGGCCAACTGGGGCTACAGGGAGACCCTGACTCAAAAAGCCAAGAGAGAGAGAAAGCTTCCCAAAACCCCCACTCTGCTTTTCACTGGCCAAAACTGTGCCACATGGCTACTAGCCACAAGCAAATGCGCTGAAGCGGGAAGTTTTAGCAAGGTGCTTTAACACCTTGCAGTTTGGTTGATGAAAAGAAAGAGAGGACAATTAACAGCACCTGCCTCAACAGTATTGCCTGATTACATGGCCCTGCCTTTTCTAAGCACACAATGAGACCTTTTTGGGAATGGGTGCTTGGTAATCTGAGTGCAGCTTGAAGGAGGATCTAACTTGGAAGGATGGAGGCAGTGAGACTAGGGGAGACCAGTCAGAGGGATATAGCCAGAAAGCCCTCTGTACCACCCGCATGCTACTAAGCCCCAGACTGTAGCCTAGAGCTTCCTGCTTAGAATCCACCAAAGGGTGGATGACCTTGTTAGGCACGCAGGCCACCCATAGGGATCCAGAGTCAGATGGTAGCTCTAGCTACTCTGGTTTCCCAGGAGCAAATCCACCTTCACCCCCAACTGATAGGGCATTCAGGAGCCTTCTACTGACCAGGGCTTTTCATCTTTCCCCTTTTAAGAAAATCCAGCAACTCTCAGAAGGTTCCATGTTTGGCCACGGCCTGAAGCACCTGTTCCACAGTCGCCGCAGGTCACGGGAACGGGAGCACCAGGCATCTCAGGAGGCCCAGCAGCAGCAACAGCAGGGCCTGTCTGACCAGGACTCCCCAGATGAGAAGGAACGCTCCCCTGAGATGCACCGTGTCTCCTATGCTATGTCCCTGCACGACCTGCCTGCAAGACCCACCGCTTTCAACAGAGTGCTTCAGCAAATCCGCTCACGGCCTTCCATCAAGAGGGGCGCCAGCCTACACAGCAGTGGTGGGAGCAGTGGCCGGCGGGCCAAGAGCAGCTCCCTGGAACCGCAGCGTGGCAGCCCCCATCTGCTTCGTAAGACCCCCCAGGACAGCAGCCTGGCAGCCATCCTGCAGCAGTACCAGGGCCGACCCCGCTCCTCCTCTACCACCGACACTGCCTTGCTGCTGGCAGATGGCAGCAATGCGTACCTCTTGGCAGAGGAGACTGAGGGCATCGGTGACAAGGTGAGTCCATGCAGGAGGAGGGCCTTGAGGGCAAATCTGAGGCTGAGCCACCTGCAGAGGGGTCTTGGATCTGGAGAGTTGAGCTGAGGCACTAATAATACCTGCTCCCCAGTTATCTGCTACACATGAGGGTTGATTATCCAAAGGGCTAATTTTTATTTGTTTAGGGGACTATTTTTCAAAAATGATCCTTCACTCAGCCTGATAGTAACTTTGATTTGTTTTCCTTAAACATTCTTTGAAGAAGCAGAGTATAGCAGTAGAAAGCAGACTGGAACCAACTTGGTTATTCCACTTACTAGCAGCATTAACTAGTCACTTAACCTCTTTGCACTTCAGTATCGTCAGTTGAAAATGGGGAAATGTGAGTAATAAATTAGTATATCTAAAGACTTGGAATGAACTGGGCACAGTGTCATTATGGTGGATATTACCAACTAAAGAAGGGGAGGAATCCATGAAGCATTATTTGACAGGCTGCGTGAAGGGTGGAGTTTGACACTTCATGAATATATACAACTCATGTTTGTTGCAACAAATATTTAGTGAGTACTTACTGGACGTCACAGGTGAACAAACCAGCATTGCTATTCTCATGCTGCCTACTGTCAGGGGTGGAAACAGTGGTAAATGATGAGTGAGCAGGGCTCTGATGAATGCTTTGGGAGTTTAGGGACAGAGTAGACAGTAAGAGTGAAAGGGAATTGGCCAAGACCTTCTGGAAGAAATGATTGAACTAAACCTTGAAAGAGTCTAACCAGGAAAAGGAAGAAGTATGTAACAAGACAACGGAACTGGTCACAGGGAGGCAGTAGGCCAGAGCACGGAGGGTCTTGTCCAGTGTTGCCTCTGGGAGTCAGGTGAAGCTATCAGAGGATATTAGGCAGGAAAGTGGAAGTAGGAGGTCTCTCTGGAGCTCAGTGGAGACAGTAGATAGGGAAGGAGTTAGGACAGTTCAACTGTCTTTGAAGCTATTGTAGTTACTACAGCCACGAGGATGACCATGAGACAAATTCAGAAAATAGTTGTGAGTTGGAAGCAGTGGTACTAGCTGAAGAAGAGGCTGTGGGAAACAGAGGAAAGGGAGGCATGGAGGAGGAGCCTCGGACTTTGCCTTCACCGGAGAAGGAGAAGAAGCAGGGTCTGGGAAAGGGCTATTCCTTTGTTGGTACGTTGAGCTGCCTGAGTAGGAGGATCCACTGGCAGTGGGTCTGTGGTGGGGCGGGGGCTGGGGAGTTTGGGGGTGTTAGAAGGGTTGGCGGGGTTGGGAAAGAGAAAGCAGCACTGAGGTTGAAGTACACTGAAGTGAATGAGAATCTCAGAGATGGAGAGCACATTTAGAGTGAGGAAGAGGCAAGGACAAATCCCAGTGACATAGAAAGGACAGGCAATTTGACCTGCTCTTCTGCACACGGGTTTCTTCCCTCCTCGCCTCCTTTCTCTTCAGCGGCATCTCTGCAGGTTTGCTCCCACACACCTGGTTGCTCCTCCCAGGCTCTGGGGGGCAGGGGACTGTGAATCATCTTCCTTCTAGTGGTCTCCAGCAGCAGCAGGAGGAGCAGAGTTGAAGGGATGATGCCTGAAAGGTCAAGGTGGCAGAGGATTAGGGCTGGAGGGTTAGCATGAAATCATGTCTTCAGAGAAGGCGGTGAGGAAGGAAGAAGGTAGGTGGTGTAGAAAGAAGGAGGTTGAGGAAGTTGGAGAGCAGGTGCACTGAGAGACCAACAAGAGGAGGTGGAGACAGAGATGCCATTGGGGTTTACGATTTCGGGGCTGGTTGGGTGTGATGGTACACCACATGACTCAGTGGTTAAGAGAACTGGCTGCTCTTGCAGAGAACCTGGGTTCAGTTCCCAACACTCATGTGGTGGCTTACAACCATCTATAATTCTATTTCCAGGGGTTTCAATGCCCTCTTCTGGCCTCTGCAACACCAGGCACACATATGGTACATTTGCATACATGCAGGCAAAATACTCATACACATAAAAATCTTTTAAATTTTTTTTAAAAAGATTTGGGGGCTTGGCTGGGTGTGATGGTACATCCCTGTAATCCCAGAACTAGTGAGGTTGAGGCAGGAGGATCATGAGCTCAAGACCAACCTGAGCTAAATAGTGAGACTCTCAATAAAATAAGTGCTGGGGGTATAGTTCAGTGGTATCATGTACCTAGCATGTATGAGGCCCTAGGTTTGATCTCTAGAAGGGGAAAAAGGGGTATGGGGGGTTTGGGAAAGGGAAGATAAGGTTCAGATGAGGAATGAGTAGAGATAAATTTAATTTGATATGGCAAGAGCTGAGAGGTTAGGTAGACCATGGGCCTTATTCTACACACACACACACACACGGCCAGGCATGTGGCATGTGCCTGCAATCCCAGCACTGCAGTGGCAGACAGGAGGATGACAGGCTCCCTGGCCAGCCCTCTGATTAGGCCAATCAGAGAAGTTGTCTCATAGGAAATACATGACCACCATACACAGTACACACACACACACACACACACACACACACACACACACACACGCATGCACACACCACCGCCCTTGCAAAGCTTTTGTTAGAGAGGAAGCTGAGAAGATGGGCTTCACTTTGGGAAATCATGGGGAGTTCAAGAGGGAGATAAAGGCAGTCTGGTGAGTAGAGGGCAGAGGGAGGAAGATTGGCGCAGCTGGAACCACAAAACTGAGGGCAGGCCTATCCATGAGGACTGGAGAATGAATGTCCTACTTTCAGAATACAGGAGCTACTGGGGAAAGGATTTCTCTGGAAAGAGGAGCTGCAGGGACAGCCTATGATGGTCAGGTGCCTGCCTGTGGGTAATGAATGACAGAGAAAATGGGCACAGTGGGAGAAAGGGCGAGTAGGAGAAATGTAGTTGATCATGCAGTCCTGTGTTTGGGAGTGAGAAGTCTGGTGGGTTCTCTAATATCAAGGTCCCAAGGGACACTTATCTAAAGTTCTTTCATTATAGATGTCACCAGTGCAGTTTCAGCTCCCCACACACGATCTAGAACTCTAACACTGACTGTTCTTGACTTCTTATGCCTCTTAACTTTTGAAAATATTTGGAAGTTTGTTCACTTAACAGTCATCATATGCCTGGCTCTGTGTGGACAACAGCTTGGGTTTGACTTGACACACTTCCAATGTAGGCTGCATGTGCTTTTGCAGCATCTTTTTGTGAATTCATTTAAGTGGTCCAATGAGCCAGATGAACCAGGTTATAGAAGCCCAAGTTTTCCAGTAGAAAATAGATCCAAAAAGAGACTGTAACTTGCTGTGACCATAGAGCTCAGAGACTGCAGTAGAACTGGACTAGAACCTGGGTTTCCTAATCCCAAGCCTGGTGTTCTTCCTACTGTACCAGGCTGCCCTGTATGTGTGGCTAACACCAGTAACCAATGATGGGGCTCAGCCACCAACTTGTCTGACTCGAAGCTATGCTTTGGTATAATCATCATCCTTGGGGATGACCTTGCAACAATTTCTGCCCATGAGCTATGAATCATTTTTTTTTACATTTTATTTTTATTATTATTTTTATTTTGTGTGTATGAAGGTATTGCCTGCACGTATGTGAGTGCACCCATGTCGTGCAATGCCCCCAAGGTCAGAAGAGGGCTTCGGATTCCCCTGGAACTGGAGTTAAGGACGATTCGTAGCCACCATGTGGGTGCTGGGAATCGAACCCGGGTCGTCTGCAAGAGCAGTCAGTGCTCTTAACTGCTGAGCCATCTCTCCAGCCCCAAGCTGTGAATCATTTTATATGTTCCATAAATGACCTTGGTTCTAGATTTCTTCAAGAAAAAAACCACTTTCCACAGACGGTTATAACCCACCTGTCCGTAGCAGAGCCTCAGATGGCCAGCATAGGTCAGCATCTGCCCCTCTTTTTCAGTACTTTCACCTGCATCTTCCTTTATCTTGCTTTCCCCTTTATTTGACACCCATTTATTGAACATCTACTAAGTGCCAGGTACTGCTCTAGGCATTAGAGGTACTTCAGTAAATGAGAGAAAAGTTCCTGCTGACAAGGAGCATCTCTCCTAGTGAGAGGAAATAAACCACTAAGTGACTACATATTATATTTGGTAGTAAGAGTACTAAGAAGCAAAATAAATGCAGAGAGAGAAGGGGGGAAGAAAATGGTGGGTAGACTTGCTCTTTTTACAGATTGGTCAGAAAGACCTCTCTGACAGTATGAAGGGTGGAGTGGACTGTGCATAGTGGAGAACACAGCAGAGAATCAGATAGGTTGGGCTAGGCCTGGGAATGAGCAGGGAGGACTTGGGATTGCATTGGGCCCATGTGATTTTTTTTTTCTCAAGTAATATGGGAAGTCATTAGAAAGCCCTGACAGTGTTGAGCAGAGTTGAGCAGGAAGTCTAGCTGGAAGCTGTGGGTGTACTCCAGAGGAGCTGATGGTCAGAGGTGAGTGGTTGTGGAGAAGATGGTCACTGAGCTCTGGATTTGCTTCAGAGGTCAAGGTCAGAGGTTCCTGACGAACTGGATATGAGGCATGACAGAAAGGGAGGTGTCAAAGATGGCTCACAGGTTTGGGGCCTGGCTGCTGGACAAAAGAAGCTGTGACCTGAACAGCAAGGAAGATGGCAAATGAACAGCTAGCTATTCCTTTGGTGGGGGCAGAGCTAGATTTTGGCTGTGTTAAGTTTGAGGTGGCTATTAAACATCCCTGTAGAAATGCCAAATAAGCAATCAGATGAGCCAGTCTGAAGTCCCGGGGAGAGATCCAACCCAGAGGCATACATTTGGGAGGTGTCAGCATATAGATAGCACTTAAAATGATGGGACTGGATTTGCAAGCCTGGCTCCCGCTGGAAGTGTGCTGTAAGAGAGAGGCCTGGATGCACTTGGCTGGAAGTGTGGTCTTGTGAACCTAAGAGTTGGTGGGGCCAGCATCTGGAACCAGGTTGTTCAGCCCTTAATGAGCAAGCACTGTGCGTACAGCAACAGCCGGGCCCACCTCTCATGGGT